TTTTTGAACTTACTTGTTTCAGTACGTTTTGTGTATGTGTGAATAAAAATTGTGATTTCAAGTCAAGGATTAGAAAATGTTCTGATATTCCTAACTTAGTCACTGAAGTCTGAAAAGTGGAATGGCATAAAGTTCCAATAGCTAAAATAATTATTTCATTTTGGCAGTCGTACCGTCGGGATCGACACTGAATGGTGGGAAACCTTTAAACTCGTTCGGCTATGGGCTACATATGTCAGGGGATATATAAAGTTAATTAGTCGTGCATGTTTATGTGCCTATTACGGTACAGTAAAGCCTGGTTTTCATATGCCATATGGTCGGCGTAATGGTAGAGTCACGATCTTTCTCAACGGCCAGTTTATAATAGTTTATACCTGTAAACCACATACAAATCATAACTATTTTCCAATTATAAGAATTTTCATTTCTAACATGTTGTATTTCGGCTGATGAGAAAGATCGTGACGACAACCCCGCCGCGGGTGTGGAGGCCATTGCTTGCGAGGTTGTCTTTACGACCGTTACTTACGACCATATGGAAACCAGGCTAGTAAAAACATTTTTTTGTTGCAGTCTTTACAACTTTTGTGAAGTTTGTCGTGAAAAGCATACAGGGCTGTAGCGACTGGGGGGGTGGGGGGGGGGTGTGCGGTGCAGCACTCCCCTATTGCTTATGAGCAATTTCAGGTAGATCCCCCCCCCGCCAACAATTTTGGGAAAAATATTAATTAGTGATTGAAATGTTCTCGGCAACTTGGACAAATTCAGGTAAATCTAACCTCACACCGCCCAAAGGCATAGTCGTTTGATTAGTTGGTTTAAGTATAACAATAATGCTAACCTTAACAAGATTACGTAAATTTCGCTGTTTCTTTATCCGAAGCGGTCATACCAGACTTTAATACAGTATAATTTGTGAATTTTTGACCCTCGACATTAGTTAACCCTCAACAGTCGACAATTAACCCACGATATTTTACCCTCGACAATTGACCCTCGACCAATAGATAAATTCATTTAAACATAGTCAAAACCCTGGGTACGAGGTTGAAACATTGAACTATAAATAAACTGGAAGGCTAACTCAGGGGGGGAATTGAAGCCAGTGCATTTAAGTTTTTCTGAGTTATGAGCAGAAATACTCAACACTGAACGTTGGGCTATATATCAAATTGAAGCTATTGAAAAACGCTATTTGGTGTAGAAATTTCAAGATTTTAGCTAAAAGGGAAGTACTG